ATGAGTCCAAAACACTGAACACTGAACTCAACATCAGAAGTTGAAGTTCTGATGCTGAGTTCGGTTTTGGATAGTTTTCTCAGGTTTGTTACCTCCGCCAAGGGCGAGGTAATGTTTTCGGTCACGTTTGTCTGTCTGTCTGTCTGTTTGTCTGTCTGTCTGTCATTCTGTTGTTCTGTCTGTGGACAACATTACTCAAAAACTTGTGGACGGATTGTCATGACATTTTTACCACATGTGGGTACTGGGCCAAGGAACACACCAATAAATTTTGGTGATGTTCCGGATGCGATGCGGATACAGAAATTTTTTTCTTTTAACACTCTGAGATCGACAAAGCTGTGATGCTTTCACAGGGCTTCTGTAAAAAACAGTGAGCTGGATTGGACAGCACAGACTTCAAACTTTATAAAAGTAATGTTAAAACCACATTTAATGATGAATAATTTTTGCCATAATATGCAATGCATAATATACAGAACGTTTTGTGACCAGGAAGTGCATGACTGCACCATGAAACCTATTTTTCCCATTTCCTCAAACACACCACATTTCCGAAACAACCAATCAAAACAGTTTCTCACTACTAGGCTTGTAAACAGAGAGCTGCCGGGCCTCAAAGCTTGGAGATGGGAGGAGCCAGGAAGCACTTTATAAAGAGAGTCAAACCATTACAAACTCATACAAGGAGATAAAATAGACGTTTTACATGGTGAAATGTGACTGATGAAAACTTAGGAGCTTAATCCAACACCAGTTTGACGATGAATAACGTTGGGTGACGGGTCTGACTCTTTTTTTTTCACATTGGACTCCACCGGGAAGAAATCCCGTGCATACTGCCTGTTTAAATGTTCGCTATGTCAGAACTTATTCGGCAAATGTGTTTCCATCTCTGCTTTTGTGCATTAACTCTTACAGGATGGGGAAAATTGGTCTATGATGAGGTTTGCACTCTCTGAGTGCTTCTAGTTTGAATTATTTTTTAAAGGACAAAATCACTAACTTTTAGACAGGAGGGAGAAAGGATCATGCTTTGGGCTTGTATGAATTTGGAAACATTGTTTCTACAAGAAGACAGTTACATTTTTTCAACAGGCTATATCAAGAGGCAAAAGGTGGGTGTTTTAACATGGCCCTCATAGTTCCTTCACCTAAATAGTATTAATAAAACCAGCCACAAAGCACAAAAAAGCAAATATGAAGAATTACAGGAAGATTAGGCGAAACAAAGAAATGGAACGGAAAGAGGTGATTGCTCATATTGTTAGAGGACACATAGAGCATAAAGGTAGGAAGGAAGGATGAGGAGCAAGAAAGGAGTGAAAAGAGGAAGGAGAGGAGGAGGGAGAGACCTCTGATGGGGGACAAACCAAGGTGGAACTTAGACGATGCTAAATTTGGCAAAAGGAGAAGGCTTGTGTGTGCGTACGTCAGGAGACTTGCTGAATCGGCCATGGTTCCAGTTTCACGCCTCCGAGTTTGACAAAAGCGAAGGAGAAAGGAAGACTGTCCCTAGCCAGTAATGTTTCCTCAGGGCGAACAGATAAAAAGAAGAAGGGAGGCGGAAGGTAAGAAGGGGGACAAAATCAGGGAAGAAAAGGTATATGTACCCTATGCAAAAACACCTTCAGTTTATTGAACACACACAACCTTTTTCTGGTGTCCTTATCAGCATCTACTGATTACAATTACATGTTGTAGCTCTGCGAATTAGCCCTTTAGCTGCAAGTATTTCTATTGATTTCCTACCTTTCAGTCAACCATTAGTTTGCATTCATGACAAGACTTTGTGAGTTGGATCTTAGCTCCTGTTTGCCCTTAACTCTGGGAAAACTGGGTCCCCACATGAAACTTTTTCTACACCCATATGATCAGAAACAATGAAACTTTATTATTTAAGGAGACTAATGTATGATGAAAAAAAAATACCCTTGTAGAATGTGAACAGTACGAATGCTGATTCAGCTTTACCTCGTTTTTCTGTGTTGTATTTTTCTGTACATTTTTTTCTCTGTGTATATCTCTGTATTTATTCTACTTTTTTGTATTCACATTTTAAAATGTTTAGCTTCATTGGTAATAGCTTGCCATAACTGCTGGTTTTTGTAAATTTGATTAGCTTCTGTTGGCTAAAAATGCTAATGTTTTGAGATTTTTTGGCAAGTTTATATACACGTCATACAAGTCAACAGTTTATATCTTTGTCTAACCTGTTTGTTTAAGTTTTAGGCAGGGTTTTAACCATGTTTTTTTATAGTAACTGTGTATTGGAATGTCCTGATGCATCTCAGTAATCCAGGTAGAGGAAATCAAAAAGAAAAAATAAGTAGGTCCTCTGGATGGGTTCTTCTTTAATGAAATGTTTCGTCTCTCCTCCAAGAGACTTCTTCAGTCTGATAAGTTTCAGGTGAACTCAGCCTTATAAGCACTGCCTCCACCTGGACAAACAGGTTAGTCACATGTGAAAGAGGGCCAACGCCTAACAATTGGCTTGATTAGCTCTTTTGTTCATAGAGGGTCATGTGCCCCATCACCTGACCCGTGTCGTGTTATGTGTATGTAGTGAGTGCAAGTGGGGGTTCAAAGTCCCCTTGTTTTTGTTTTTTCCCTCTTTGTGTTGGTATCATTGGGGCCCTGATTCACACCTTTTGCTCACAGAGGGCTGAGTCATACTTGCAATAACAGCGTTGTAGGAGGAGGACAAATGGACACGAAGGCCTCTACCTGTTTAATGGTGGATGGTTTTTCTTCACAAAGATGGCTTCCTTTACTCCTCTCTCAAACCAACGTTTGTGTATTGGAATGTTCAATTAATAGAGTGGTTGACATGACACTCATGCAAAAAAAAAAAATTTCAAAATAATTTCCTAAAAGGGCTATGACTGTGCTATGACTTTTGTTAAAATAAAAAATAAATAAATAAAATTGCACACATTTAAAACAATAGGGATTTTGGCCAGACAAGAGAGAAAACCCAGCTCTTTTTTGAGCTATAGCTTAGACTCAATAGTAAAATCAACATTTATTGCATTTAAGAGAGATTTCTCCTTTAATTGCAACTTTATTGTGGTGGAGGAGTATGTGCGCCTGAATGATGATAATAGACTGCGTGGCTGTGGCAGAGTGGTTATGGAAGTCGTCCTGTAACTTGCGGGCTGCTGATTCGATCTCCCATTCCATCCGTCCTATCCTTGGGTAAGACTCCTGCTTTGCCTGCTGAAGGTGGTCAGAGGGTCTGGTGGCGCCGGTGCATGGCAGCCTCACCTCTATCAGTGTGCCCCAGGGCAGCTGTGGCTACAATGTAGCTTACTGCCACCTAGGGGCATCTAGCAGCCGAGCAGCGCATCTAGCGGCATTGGAGCATTTCGAAGCATTTCGCACGTCTTGAGCATTTTTCCGTGGGTGCGGCACATCCCAAGCGTCCGACGCACGGTTTGGAAAATCTGAACTTTTGCTGCTTAATGCGTCGCATCAACCAATCAGAGAGACTCTGCTCAGTGACGAAATGGTGACGAGCCGGAAACACCAGAAGCCCGGGAAATCGGATCACACAAACAACAGAGGAAAAACTGAAAGTCTGATCTTTTATGATCATTCCAGTGTCCATTATCGTGATAGAAATAAGAAGGATTTTGCCTAATTAGTGAGGAAGTCGGTATGTTTGGTGAGTTATCGAAACTACGGTTAAAAGGCTCCTCCCCTCGAGCGTCTAAAGAAGCGCGTCTACGTTCACATCGAATGCGTCTGTCCTCACAGTCAGGATGCATGCGTTTTGAGATTTTTGGAAGCGTGCAACGCGTTTGGTGTAAACGTAGCATTAGACATCAAAACTTAGTTGTTTTTAGGGCAGCTGTGGCAGAGTGGTTAGGGGAGTCATTCCTCTAATGCAAGAGTTGGCAGTTCAATTCCCAGGTATTCTGTTACACGTCAAAGCGTCCCTGGGTAAGACACTTGCTGCCTCTGATGTGTGTTCTATCAGTATATGAATGTGATTTAAAGCTCTGATTAGTCTCTATAGATTGATTTACCTGTATTAGCTTTGTAGTGAGATCTAAAAGAGTGATGGGTAAATGAGGACACAGGCTGTACTGTAAAACATTTTGAATATCCTGGTTGGTTAGAAAGATGCTATTTAACTACAGTCCATTTAGAATTTTTAACCTGTTGCCAAGTATATCTTTCCCTCCTGTAGGACTTAAGGTTTTCTCTCAAATACCCTACACAAAGTAAAGTTTTTTTACAACTAGTAATAAAACTTTACCAGATGCTCCAACAAGAACGATTTCACAGAACGTGAAGCAAAGCACATCATCCTAACAAGTGAGCAGTTTGATTTCTTGATCCAATATTCTTCACCTCAGAGTGAACCCTTACCCTTTAAACCCTAAAAATACCCATCCTAATGCCCAGCCAAAACAGAACATCTATTTGCATGGGCATGTCTGTTTCCTGTTCATGCGTTTTTACATACACACCTGTGAAAAGCTACCTGACTCTTAATATGCAAAGCACTTGGTATTTATTTTCTCTGCTGCGATCCTTAATGCGTGTTGTGCGCAAAGCTTTACTCCTCCCTCATTTAAGCCTCAGTGTTCATCTCACTGAGCTAAAAAGACAAGTGTGTGTGTGTCAGCGAGAAGGTGTGCGCTAATGGATATCTAAATGCTGCTGATGTTACTTTGCGTAGTTTAAGAGCCCTCGGGTCCCCTTAGACCAATACTGGGTGAGAAAAAAGTGATGGGGTGTGTGGGGGGTGGGGGATGTGACTTTTGCAAATCGCTTTGACAAGGACACCCGCGCCTCGAGCGGCGTCCTCTTTCGCCTCATCGAACACACACACACATTCAAACATCCACACCTCAGCAGAATCGTGAGGTGACTGTTGCGCTCCGAACAGCTGACTTAGAGGACATTTGTGTGTGCTACTTCCTTTTTTTTGTTGTTTAATTTAGAAGCCCTGTGTTCATGTTGTTTCTAGTGTTTCTAGACGGGCTTACCTCAAAGTCGTTGGCCTTGTTGTAGTGCATGTTGAGCGCCCTGAAGAGTTCGGCATCCCGGCTCACCGTCAGCTCCTCAGCCGTCGTCACCCCCTCGTTGATCGCCTGCCGTGCAAACTTCTCCATCTGGATGTAGTAGAACTCTCTGAAGTTGCTGAACCACTTGATCAGCTGGGAGGTGATGCACCGGTTAAACTGTGGGGGGCAAACAGACAGGAGTTTATTTTGCAAGATTCAACAGCTTGATGTTCTCGGTTAGACCTGTACGTGTGTGGTGACTTTCTGGTTGAGCATATCTAAAAACACCTTACTTTTTTGGTGCCATCGAACTGTGTTTAGTTTGAAAGCACCTGTTATTGAACAATAGACTTCCTGGAGCTTTTTTTTATGAGGCCCAAAGTTTTTTCATTGAAGACCATTAAATATAGAAATTCATTTTATTTATTTATTTAGTTTTTGTCATTTTACTTCTTGTTATACTTCCTTTTTATCTGAAGCCTTGTGTCTCCTTATACATCTTTTTTGGGTCTTTGTGGGTCTTCCCTATGTTTCATTGTAAGATTCCTTTTGATTTAATTTACATTGTTTTATTTTTTGTCACTTAAGGTTTCTTTTGTCTGTTTGTCTCCTTATGCATACTCTTCTTTATGCTTCCTTTTTGTCTGCTTTTTTGTCTGTTTATATACTCTTCATGCAATTTTGGCTCATTATGGGTACCTTTTGATGCATCTTTTTGTGCTTTTTCCCCAACTATCCTTTTTCTGTCTGCTCTGCTCCTTTTCGTCTCTTCTTTTTCTTTAAAAATTTCAACTACTATTGAACTCCAGCACTCAGGATTCTGATTTTTTAAGTTTGTATTGATTTGATTCTCAAACCGTAAACGACAGAAGTGTCTTGTCATCACATTTTAATTTTTATGAGTCTGCACTGTTTTATATAAAGGTGATGAGACCCTTGGTTATTTTTTAAAGGAGATCAAAAGGAAAAAAATTGTATAGGTCCTCTGGACGGGTTCTTCTTTAATGAAACATTTCGTCTCTCTTCCAAGAGACTTCTTCCTACAGCGTTCTGTAGAACGTACGTTCTGGAGGTTCTGCATTCTTCCTACAGCGCTGCCATTGGCAGTATCACTCCACCTCCTGTTAACAATAGGTATTAATTAGGTGTGAACGATAGCCATGTGATGTGAGTATCGGTCGCCTGTGAACGATAGCCATGTGATGTGAGTATCAGTCACCTGTGAACGATAGCCATGTGATGTGAGTATCAGTCACCTGTGAACGATAGCCATGTGATGTGTCGGTCGCCTGTGAACTATGGCCAAGTGATGTGAGTATCAGTCACCTGTGAACGATAGCTATGTGATGTGAGTATCAGTCACCTGTGAACGATAGCCATGTGATGTGAGTATCAGTCACCTGTGAACGATAGCCATGTTATGTGGGTATCAGTCACCTGTGAACGATAGCCATGTGATGTGGCCATGTGATGTGAGTATCAGTCACCTGTGAACGATAGCCATGT